ACCTCTTTCTTTCTCTTTTTTTTTTTTCCAAGAGACAGGTGGGAAAAGGGAGAAAGCTGTTGTTCTGTGATGCTTGTTCAAATCAGGTGTCAGCTCTAAGTTCTTGAGAGTTGATGTGTAGAAAGACATTCTGACAATCTGTAGATCAGAAAAAATATCACTGAAGTAAAGAAAAAGTTATATTCGTTGAAAATAAGGTTTTTGGTTTATTCTAAATATTAACTAACTTTGTGTATGTTGTGCTCTCTGCTGGGGAGGCAGAAGAACAAGTGAAATGTACCATGCTTTAAGCACAGTTTATTGTACTGGTTAGGAAATTTATGACAGGATCTCCAGGATTTAACCCTGGATATACCTGAGATACTGATATACTTGATACATATTTGATCCTAGATATACTTTGATATATTTGATTTGATCCTGGATATAGTTTAAGGCCAGTTCTGCCTTTCCTTTACTATTCTATCCCCATTCATATACATTCTCATTTAAAAGCAGAGTTTGTTCTGAAAAGTTAAACTTTTCTTGTAAGATATGGGTTGAGATGCAGACTGAGCTCTGGGTGGGAACCCGAGGCGAGTTCTGAACTGCCAATCTTTGGGATAACAAAGGGCATAAAGATAGGTGATGCCAGCCAGGTGCATGGAAAGAGAGACATAGCAGGAGCCGGGAACTGCCGGTATTTTGGATAAGAGAGGAGACGAGGACGGGTGCCAGTGAGGTGGATGGACAGAGAAACGGGGGTAGGAGCACAGGACTGAGGAGAGAGAGTGAGATTTATGGGGATAAAAGCTCAGGGGTTGCTTAATTTGGATCCTCCTCGGAGGCACCAGCTCGAGCTGTTTATACCTTGTTGTACTGGGAATAAATCCCTTTATGGGACGAGACATCTGAGACTCAGCTGTGGGAAACCTGGGGTCGAACCGGCGAGGAAACCTGGTCTGACTGTGTGAGTGGAGTGTGTGGGGAGCTAAGCGGGGGACCTGACGTTTCACTGAAGCCGCCGTGAAGAGCCTTCTGTCCCAGCAGCGACTGTCTCTGGCGCTGGGAGCGTGACTGCCAAGGGTCTCGTGAGCGGCCAGACTGGGCAGGTTCTTTAACAACTGCGCTGGCACAGCAGGGCCCGCGGGTGTCCTGCGAGCGGCTCGGGAGCGGCGCGGGGCCACCGAGGACCCCTGAGGGGAGCGCGTGGGGCGTGGGGGCCGTGAGGGAGGCAGAGCCGCGCGCGCACCGCCAGGCGGCGCCCCCGCCCCACCGAGCGCCCCGAGCCCGGGGCGGCCGCGCGGCGCTTCCGGCGGCGCAGGAAGGGGCGGTGCGCGCGGCTCCGGTGAGCGGCGGCGGGAGCGGCTGTACCGCCGGGGCCGCGGCCGGGGAGCTCGGGATAGGCGGAGGGAGCGACGGTACCGCCGGGGCCGCTGCCGGGGAGCTCGGGAGCGGCGGCGGGGCCGCGGGCCGGGGAGCTCGGGATAGGCGGAGGGAGCGACGGTACCGCCGGGGCCGCTGCCGGGGAGCTCGGGAGCGGCGGCGGGGCCGCGGGCCGGGGAGCTCGGGAGCAGCGGCAGCTCCGGCACCGAGCGCCGTGGAGCGGGGCAGGCAGGGGCCGGACTCCGAGAGGGCTGCCCGGGAAACGCCGCCGCGCGCGGGCTGCGGTGTGGACGCGTCAGCGCCCGAACCTGTCCCGCGGCCTCTCGGTGCTGCGGGCGAGGAGGCAGAGGGGCTGGGGGACGGGGCTCGTGTCGTACCGTTACCGAGAGCCGCGACAGGGAGCCTGGATATCGCCACCGCTTTCACCAGCTTTGTCCTGATGTGGGAGATAAGGGAACTGCAGCTGGGTTTAGAAATTAAGGACTGAATTAGAACCATATGGAACCTGCGCTAATGCACTACTTTAAGTTCTTACAGTGCACCTCTTTTCTAGGAAAAATGATTTCTGAAAGCAGCTCCTTCATCAAGGGTGTGGTGCTTGGAGGAGTTTTCTGCATGTTGGTTACGCTGCTCGGACACATTAAGGTGGGCCACGGGACCAAAGCACATCACCACGAGCATCATCACATCCAGGCTCCCAACAAGGAAGATGTCTTAAACCTTTCAGAAGGTGAACGTGTGGAGCTTAGTAAAAGCATCCGTGTTTATTGTATCATCCTTGTCAAACCAAAAGATCTGGGGCACTGGGCTGCAGCAAGGGAGACCTGGAGCAAGCACTGCGACAAGGCAGAATTCTACAGCTCAGAAAACGTCAAAGTGTTTGATTCTGTAGCCGTCAACACAAATGATATGTGGGTAATGATGCGGAAAGCTTACAAGATAACATATGAACGCTATAAGGATGAATTCAGCTGGTTCTTCCTTGCATATCCAACAACATTTGCTATAATTGAAAATCTCAAGTATTTCTTACTGAAAAAAGACCCCTCACAGCCTTTTTACATAGGCCACACTGTGAAATCTGGTGACCTTGAGTATGTAGATGGTGAGGGAGGAATCGTCTTAAGCCTTGAGTCACTAAGACGACTTGCCCATGTCCTTGGAGACCCTGACAAGTGTCCAGAGCAGGGAGGTATGATTTGGAAACTCGCAGAGGACAAGCAGCTGGCAATCTGCCTGAAGTACACTGGCGTGTTTGCCGAAAACGCCGAAGATTCAGAAGGGAAAGATGTCTTTAACACTAAATCTGTCGGGGCCCTCATTAAGGAGGCCATGTCCACTCACCCGCAGCAGGTGGTGGACGGCTGCTGCTCCGACATGGCCATCACCTTCAGCGGACTGGCCCCCAATCACATGCACGTGATGATGTACGGGGTGTACAGGCTCAGGCCCTACGGCCACTCATACAGTGATGCCCTGGTCTTCCTGCCCCCACCGGGCTCAGACAATGACTGATGTGTCCTCAGGGAAGGCCTGCAACCGTGGAGTTGGCTCTTCTCACAACACACAGTTGTTGTACTGACACATTCTGGTACTGGTGTACAGGTTTTTTTGCACATTGAGGGTTGGTAAAGCTCTTAATTTTAAAAGTGGAAGGAGATTTTTTTTCTAAATCTTTTATAGAGAAATGCTTCTGGCTTTTGACAGGGCTGGAATGAAATGATAAAAAGTTGTTAATGTTTATTATAAAAGGAGATTAAGTTTATGGGGGGTTTGTATATGTAAGTATTTATTAATGAAAACTCAAATGAACTTTAATCTACTCTTACAAATATATTTTTGCAAGACTTTGGTTATTTCAGCTCTTCCAGGCATTTCTAGAATGTCTTTATATCTTTCTAAGATGTACCAATAAAACTGACTACAGATTCAGTCTCAAAGACTGTAACTTTAAGCTATTTCTTTTACACTAAACTACGCAATAGCTTGAGCTTATACAGCACCTGCCACCTCGTGTACAACCTTCTAACAGGAAGCAAGGTAGCAAGAAATCTTGCAGCAGAGTAGTATCAAGTGCCCTTTGGACTAGTGTTTCTAAGCAGACAAAAGAAAAAGATAAACTGTATTTGAATAGGTATTAACATGGTCAGGGAGTCTGTTAGCACAAGATTAATTGATCATGTAAAATTTCACTCCATCTATAAGCACATTAGAATAAATGTTTAGTATTATTTTTACTCCTGATAGTGGGTGGTAATAGTGCTTACAAGGAAGAAGTTGGTTAATTGTCAGTACAATTTGGTGTTTGGTTTGGAGTTTTTTGTTGCCCTTTTTTTCTTTACAATATAGTGCACTCAGTTTTACACAAGTTCCTGGGACACACTCCTGTCCAGTCACAGCATGTGCAGACAAACAGCACGTCAGTACTTGGTCCATTTAGAATTCAGGGACCTGACACGGGTGTTTCAAGACTTGAGGAAGGTACCCCATCTATCTGTTACATCCAGGACTATCACAGGCTTTGTTGGTACTACAATATTCATAGAACATGGGAGCAGACTGTTATCTCACCTTTAACCAACCAGTTGTAACTCCCTACCGGGAGCTGCAAGTGGTCAGCTGCTTCAGAGCTGATTAGACTATCCACACCTTGACTTTTTTTAAGCATCAGGTTTTTGACAAGAAAGGTAAGACAACTGCTCAGCCCCCATACAAGATCCCACATCTCCGCTGCTTTTTGAAAGGTGAGACAAGATGCACCTTCTCATCCTCTCTGTCAGTCAGAGCTCAGCTGACAGCAACACAAACATACACAATTGCTGCCAAAACCTGGGTAAAACTTGTACCTTTGGTGTTTTGCTAAACTGATATATAAATTAAGCCTGATTATCTTGTATCTTCTTACAGAATAATACAGCTTTAAAAACTCTGACAAAACCAGATAAAGAAACCAAAAATTTCATTTTAGTGTGATTATTAAAAACACAGCAGTCAGGAGAATGAGCGTGAACAATTCCAACAAGAGGAAAATCTCTTGTCACAGATTTGAGGTGATGTAGGACAACAGGAACAGATAAGATGGAAGGGTAAAAAGCAAACAACAGAAGGCAAGATTACCTCATTTTACACTAAAAAAAAAAAAAACCAAAAAAAAACCACCAACCAAACAACACTGAAGCATAAACTGATTTCCCATAGTACTAACCAGAAATCAGTACATTTACAATTAAATCTTTAAGATGCACAGAAATGTCCACCAGCATTCTCAAGGTCTGAGGTTTGATCAGAACTTTTTCTGCAATACTGCTTAAATTTTGTCTTCCTACATCGATAAGTAGTTTCAGATTTACCCTGTCATTTTCAGTAGTCTTGTAAATAATTTTACAGAATTTTAAAAGCATGTATTAGGCAATATATTCCTTCTGCCATGTCTCAACCTGGCCTTGGAATCAAGTAGAGAACACCTTGGCTACTATCATCTGTAAAGGTCCCAAGGTTGGGGAAACCAAGCCTGCAGAAAAGCACCAAGGCAAGGCACTGGCACACGAAATCACATTCTGCTGTTTTAAAATGTGTTAGAATAAAGACTTGAAATATTAATAAATGCTTCCAGAGACAGTTATGATTGGGAGACCTTAAAGGTTTCCTTAATTTATTACAGTATTTCATTTTTCCATAGGCATAGCTTTGGGTATGCTGAACAAAAGACTGGGTTATCCAGACAGACACACAGTGCTCCTGAATCCATTCTGTAGCGGGGGATATGTGGCAGTGCGCACAAGCTGAGTTCCACCTGAAAAAGTTTCTCCTGGCTACACTGAAAAACATGTTTTGCTGTCATGCCTTTATTTAACAGTGATTTTGTTTCTGCTCCTAAAATAAGGCAGCACATAGGGAGTAGAGAGCATCAGGCACCAGGGTGGCACACACTTCACTCAGAGCGTGGCCACCATGACTACAAACTCCACTAGAAGGAGAGCAGTATCAAAGTGTTGGCAGGTAGAAATCTGAACATACACAGAGTCTTCAGGTATGAGCCACCATAAAAGAATTTCTAATCCACATATCAGTCTGAGTTCATAAATCCTATACAGATAAATGCATATTAAAAAGAGAAAATCCTTAAGTAAAATGAAATTAATGCTCTTAATAAGTTAAAAAATGTCAAAAAACCTGATTTCTCCACATTCAAGAAACTAGGTAGACTAACAGAATGTCAATCAGAAGAAAAAATCTGAAATGCTTCTGAGGTTTTATAAACTATATTTATATTTCACACACACTTTATATTAGTCTTTTAGAAGAGCACAAAAATGTAAACATTTCTTGGGTTTTTCCTCCTTTCTATTTGAAATAGTCTACTTACAGTCCATGCAGAATCTCATCAAATATCTTCAGTCACTGAAGACTCAGGTTTAAGACAGAACAAAATAACTGTAATAAAAAGAAATCTAGAAAACTATTGTAGCCTAACAGTACTTTTGCATTCAATTGATTTATTTAGCATAGCCACAGAACAAAATAATTTGTACATTCAGTCACATTAAAAACAAGGAATTACAAAGCAGTCCACATTTAATCTAAGTGCATTCCTTTGGAGTAACAGTTCCTGTTGTTTCACTTGTATGTCTTCATGTGCCAAAGGCCATCGTTTAAATAGTGGATATTTTCAATACCAATCCCTTTGTTGACTTTCTCACTGTTGAAGGAAAAACGTACAGAAGTATTAGCTAGGTTAAATAGGAAAGCACTACAAAATATATTATTTCAAGCAGAAACTGCAACATTTGTCACCTGGAAGGGGAAAGCTATCAATCACTAGGTCATTATCTTCCACAGCAGGTGGACAAGAAACAGTATTTATTAAATGTGCCCACACTGCTGACTGATAAGAGAACCATATTTGCCTTCCACATTTTTTCAACAGCTTTCCACAGTATTTTTACTACTTCGTGGGACACGGTTCTTCAGACAACACTTCTGCTACTTTTCTTAATTTACCATCAAAAGTAATCACTCCACATTCAAAATTACTCCATCAAAGTAGCACAGCAGTTGTGAGCCTTCCCCTCCCAGCAAAGGATGTGGTACAAGACGACTGGAATGTGGAATCTAACAAGTTCTGGTTCTAGGTGTGCCATGGACACAATCAAATGCAGGTGAGCTGCCTCACTTCTAGTTGCAGGTCATCTACCCACTTAATAAAGAATTTAAAATGCTAAATTTATGTGCCAAGGACTTGCAGCTTGTTACAGATATGCTATCCTCCGCAGTATTGACTATCTTTTGAGACATGTCATCTTTTAAGAGTTACTGGTCCATGTCTGCATTGAATGTGTTTATTTTTCCAGAAAAAAAAAAAAAAAAAAAAAAAAAAAATCTAATTTTGCCCCAATAAACATGACAAATCTCTTTCTGAGAGTGACACAAGGAGCATTCCCCTGGAGAATAACTTACTCTATTTACACCAAGTGTTCTATTACTTACACAATCTGTCCAAAAGTAAGCAGGAAGGAAAATGCTGCTAACACAATATTAACACATTATATGTAGTAATCACACCAAGAGATTGAAATCCCACTGCCTAAACCAGAAAATTGTGGAACAATGTCACACAAAAGTGCAGCTAACAGGCTGCAGAGAGGAGTAGCATTTCATTTTCCTCTCCAGTTCATGTTGTTTCTCACAGGAACACAATATTCAGCTAAAAGGTATACAAAGGACCTGTATCACTGCACTTTTAGGGTTAGGACACAAGTAGCTTTTCTTTCCACTTACTCTTGGAGTCTGTCTTTGAAGAACCACAAAGAATCCTGAAAAATAAAATTCCTCAACAGCTGCAGCAGTTCCAAATCCAGGTTTCTGCAATCCCACTCTATCCCTGTCCTCTAAAACATTCCCACCTCTCTGCCTAGTGCTACTATTATGGCTTAACACAGACTTCTGCTGAGAATTAACAACACAAAAAAGAGTGACTTGTTTTCACCAAAAAAGCTTCCTCACTGCAACAGGTGACAGACAGGTCTGGAAACCAGCACAGCCCAAACCTGCTGGGTGCACCTCACATCCTGCAAGGCATTAATAGAACTTCAAATGACTAAGTGATTTAGCTACTTATAATTCAGCACTATCTGAAAGCCAAGAACAACTAACATTCATTTCCATTTTCTTTATTTCTTTTTCTTCTCAAATAGTTTTCAGTTGATCCCCTGAGCAGACCTCTAAATTTCACAAGAGGATCAGCTAAATTAGTCAGCATTTCAAGCAGGAATGTTGCATGTGGGTACACCCTAAGGAAAAAGAGCAGGCCACAGAGAAAAAATAGCCTAGACCGGCAACCAAGCCCCAAGCAGGACTTGAGTCTCTGCTGTCCCTGCAGACAAAAATCTCTTCAATTTTGAATCCTCTCAAATCCAAATCACATCTCTTGTCTAGTCTGAGATAGTAAGTACTTCTATCAAGTATGTTTTTGTTCAATAAGATCTTTGAGACATGATCACAGCACTAGAAATACTAACATTCAGTAGTAGTAGTAATATTTTGTGTCTTAAAATCCATATTCACGTGAAAAGAACTACTTTGATTCCCAATAAGGACAGAAAACATTCCCTGCCTCCTTTTCCTTCCCTGAATACCAGTCAACAAAATGAAATCTTACAAACTCTGTTCTTGAACAACATATGCTGCAACAGAAATGCAGTAACCTTGACAGTGGTGCTTATACTCCAAACTAACATAAGAATAATAACATGGGACAGGTTATATTTCAGCTTTTAAAACACTTACATGTCCTCAGCTGACATCTTCATTACTCCCACACATAATGCATGTTGTTTTCCCTCTGCCATTATTGCCTACAAATTACTACTAAGGAAAACATTTCTTTTTTAAACTATTTCAGGAAAGTAAAAGCAATATGAAGAAATTACTTTCAAAAACATTTTCAAAAGTCAGTGTTGAACTTTTAACCTTTTAGTAATTCTAAAGCTCGGGCCCTTAAAGATAAGCAAAACAATGCACTGAATTTAACAATTGAATCAGTGTGTAGAACAAAGCATGTATTTATGAACTTAGAACAGCAATTACAGAAAAAAAATCTCCCAGTGCTACCTAACACAGAGATGACAGTCTCTGCCTTTCTGGAACAAAACAGCACATGTTTGTGGGGCCATTTTAGATTCCAAGGCCCAGAAGAACTGAGACACCAATTTAAAAACCACAAGTACTGAAATCACATGTCCTTTTCAGAGCTCAGCAACACGATATTAATTGATGATCTTTTCCTATGGCACCTAACTAACAATAAAAGCAGCACAGCTTGGTGTTATAAATGCTGTATTCATTCATGGTTCTTTTCTCAGTAATATAATGAGTGAATTAGCACACTTTCCTCATTTTACATATGCTAACTTCATCAGACACAAAGAGCAAGTCCTGACTGCAGTAGAGCTGATCCTAAACATCTTTCCTAATTCCCTAGGAACAGGAGAGCATTCTTCTGAAGGGAACACAGGATTGACTAAGGAGGCACGGGACAAATTACACTGAACCTCATCAACTTTTACCATTCTGTATAAAATCACAAAGGAGCTCAAATTACCAATGAGATTAATGGAACAGCAACCCACCCAACAGTACAGCAGGAATAGTTGTGTGGTTTGGAACATACAGTAAGTGGAAAAATACAAACAATTTTAACCTTGCCAAGCAATATCTAAACCTCTGCAGCTCCTTTCTGATTACTAGTTATTTCATTAAATCCAATTAAAATCCAAAGTAATACAGATAATGATCATCTGAGAACACAAGAATAGAAATTTAACTCATGTCATAATGAGCGATAATTCATAGTTAAGAAGGATACAACGACAGTGTCAACAGCAGCAGGGTAAAGCTTTGCTCCAGGAGACGTCAGGCCAGGGCACATTATATTAGCTCCACTCAGGACAAATTTAATGGCACCTTTATCAACCTGCTGATGCGGGAGAATAAATGGGTCTAGGAGGGGAAAGATAGAGCATTGCAATTAATACAGCACCATGGCAACACGAATAGCTTCTTATCAAATCAGTTTAAATGGGGCAATTAGATGTAGTGTGTCCTGCAAGGACAAGAAGTTTGAGAAACAAACTGTCCTCCCCAACCACAACTTTTATATGAGAACCTAAGGTAATCCAGCACTTCAGGCTATGGCTCCTGCACACTCACACACCCATAGACTAAGCAACAATTTTCCCCTAGAGAAAACAACCACCCACGTACCCATCCTAAGACATCTTAAAAGCAAAGTGTGTTAAATCCTGCAAACTCCATGTATTCTTACAAATTACTCCAACATGAAAGAAAAACAGTTTAATGTTAACAGAACAAAAAAGACAAACATGGACTAAATTCATGAAAGCTGTCAGCTCTCCAAGCCATCCTTCAAGCGCAGGCAGCCTCTTGAAGTATTTACAACACTGAGATCTGACTGAATAACATTTTTTGGGATCCAAAACAGAGTAACAAAATGAAGCAGAACAGCAAGAAAAAAACTGCAAGAGTAAATTGTGAAAAGTAAAAAGCATGCAGCATAAGTTCCCACAGGAGACAGATATACATTACATCATTAGACTCGTGAAGGCAGAATATTTTTCTAGTAAGAACTTAAAAGCATTTGCATAACAACGAGACTTGAAAGAAAAAAGATAGGGACCAACAATATCAAATTTATATCTCTGTCCTAGGGGAGCCTCTCAAGATTTTTTTACAGAGCTTTGCACAATTTAATTTTTACTTATCAAAGTTCAGATTGCTTAACATATAGCATGGAAACAATTCACATAGACTTGTGAAACAGAAAATTAATAAATTCCAGTTAAGAAAGTATACTGTATCTTTAAGATCTATTCTAGAATATGTATAAGCATGGAAGCTCTTTTTAATTTGCTTCTACAGATGTCATGTGGAATCACACGTGACCACCCTCAGGAAACTTACATTTATGAAGCAACCTTAGCGTTGGGTAAAAAATGCCTTCTCTTTGCCTGAAGAACAGCAATTCCCCATTCACAGTGAGGATTTCTATATGTTCATGACTGCAAGATTAAAAAAAAAAAAAAAATTCAAAGACCTACTTAACCCTTCTGTAGTTTAAATACAGTATTTTATTTTATGGAGTCTGGTTTATCTTAGCACCTGAGAATAAAAACAGTCAATTAGCAACAAAATTTAAAACTAAAAATATTATCTTTTCGTATGACTTGTTCTTCAGCAGTCATCTTTTGTTCACTTCTTCCCCCTCTGCAAAAAAAGAAACCTACTGACAAAATACACTAAACTGCATTTCTTTGGTGTTGCTTTCTGAATGCAGTACCAAGAGCGAATAAGGAAAGGAACTCAGCAAAAATGTACTACCCTCTATTTAGAAAAGGGAAAATAACCAATATATGGAAGCCCAAAAATAGTACAAAATGTTACTAACAGGAATCCAAACCACTTTGAGCTTCCACATTCATAAAGCTGAATGCTTCCCTTCAACAACAGGTTGATCCTTGGAGAGACCCTGAATACTCTGCACATTAAATACTAGGCAGCTTTTTTAAGTTCCTCAAGCATCCTATTAGCATCTGCCTTTAAAGCATAATGAGCACATGCCAACTTTCTAGTTTCGCCATAACAGAGACTACTAGCTAGTAAGAGATGATGGAAGCCTATCAAAAAGTGCTAGGTTTATCTACTGTACAAAGTAAACATACAAAGGAAGCAATCCTAGCACCTTGAAAGCAAAGTTTAAGAGAAAAGATACTTACCATCTTACTATTTTGACTGGATCTTTCTTTGGCATGATTTGGTTTAGCCATGGTTCAATAACAGGAAACTGGTCAATCAGTTGATTCTTTATACCTTTAATAACTGAAGTCTTCAGCTGGATACAGTTTGATACATTCTCCTTTTCATCAAATCTGTCAAGTGAGTGAAAGTATTTTAGAAACGCGCAATTTGCTGCACAAAAGATGCATTTTTCAGCAGCTGTCTTCAGAAATGTTTCTAAATTTACTGTAAAAGTCTAAGAGCAGACTGACTGTCCAACTTTCAAATGCAGGATTTCATGAGGCTTAAATTTGTCCCCTGCGAACACTGGGCTGGGGGAAGGTAGGGGGTCCCCACTCAGTAGCCTGTCTTCATCCCTAAACTTTTGTATGGCCACAGAACACGTGTTCAGTCTCACAGATAAACCTTGGCACACAGTGCTGTTTTATTCAACTCCAAAGAGTACTTTGTTGGTAACCCAAACACCCACAGCCCTGTTCCGCTGCAAATCCTTCACATCCACCATAGAAATACGAACGGCGCTTTCTACCACCCGAAGTTGGGACAAGTTAATGACTCAGCCCCATTTAACGAGCGAGTGCCCAAGGCAAAGCGGAGGGCAAAGCCGAGGGCTGCGGGCGGCGCTGCCCGAGGAGGCCGCGGGGCCGCTCCCGCCAGCGCAGCGCCGAGCCCGGGGCTGAGGGGGAGCCGGGCCCGCCCGGCCCCTTCCATTCCCTTCCCCCGTGCCTCCCGCGCCCCCAGCCCGGCCACACTCACTTCTTGAACATCCTGCGGGCGGGGGGCGCCGGGCGGGCAGGCCGGGGCCGGCGGGCGGGCGGGCACCCACAGCCTCGGCGCTGCTCACACGCGGCTCCGGCCGGGCCGTCCCTCCCTCGGCGGCCGCCGGAAGCGCCGCTCCAGCACCGCGGAACGGGCGGGGCCAGCCGGCAGCACCGCGTGCGCCGAGCCGGCGCCTGTGCCAGCATCGCCGGCTCCTGCCCAGCCACTGCCCCTTGCGCAACAGCGGCGTTGTCAGGCTTCCACAACAGCCGCTGCTTGCTACTCACAGGCACGGCGCTACCTTCCCAGGTAATACATCGCTTTTCGGTAAAATAAGAAGCGCAAAGTCCTAATAGCTACTGACATAATTTAAACACAAAATGCGTTTAATTGGAAAAAACACAGCCATCTTCAAACTAGCAGAGCAGAAGCTATCCTCACGCCACCTTCATAGCAGGATACAAGATCCTGTCAACAGCATTCTGGGGGAACAAATTGAGGTCTTGTCAAACAGCAGATACTGGAGTTGCCCAGGGAATCAGTCCCAGGTGACGGTGCCACATCTTCAAGGTAGGGAGGGAGCAGAAGCCTGGCTTGCAGAGAAGATTTGGGCTGCCACACAGAGAGATGGATTTAGAGAGAGTATTTATTAGAATCAAATTAGGTTATGCTGGGTGATGGCTGCAGCAGCTGTGAATAGAAAACCATAGGCAGACAGAATTTACCGCACTGCTTTTTCACTCTTTGAGGAGCACACCTGTGTTTGTTCTTTAGGCTGGTGGCTGCTATATATAAACAGACATGCAAGTGATCACCCAGTTCCTTTTTAGAGTCACGGAAATGGCATAAAGGGGAGGGAGCAGAGGACATAAAAGACCAGGTTACCATTATGCTAATAACCAAGTTCTTTCTTCCATACAAAACAATTCAATCACCTTTGATACTATACCAAGCAATTTAAACCTAATACTTAAAAGTTTCATCAGCTAAAGAAAAATCAAGCTTTATACATGGTATCATTCAAATAGTACAGGACAGCATCAGGAACAAATACACTAATAACTTTTTAAAAGTATAGGAATTAACTGTGGCATTACATAAATAGTCAAGCATTTCAGTCATGAATGCTACCTTCACTTACTTTGTAGCATCACTAAAAATACTGAGTTATAATGAAGAATTTAATTTTAACAGAAAACCCGTGACACTGCTCATGCCCAGGATTAGAAAGTGAGAATGGGAGTTTATCACACTGACAAACTCTTCCATATGTTCTGCTGATCCTCAGAAAAACTTTCATCAAATAATACTTCACCATGCAAACAACCACATTTTTTTAAACTGTAATGAAAAATTCATCATATTCTACTTCAAATGATAGAAACACAAGGTAAACTTCTACCCTTCTTGAGAAAAACTGTACATCTCACTGAAGTCACCTGAGCCACTGGTTTCATGCCTGCCTATACAGCAAGATTAGACCCAGATTTTCAAAAATGCCTTTGTCAAGAGAAAGGTCTTACTTCTATACATCTACTACCTTAAAGCAGTTGGACCACTGGTTCCCTTCAAGGCTGAACTAAACTTGAGTCTGGTCTTAACTTCTCCATCTTCTCTTCCAAATACTTTTTGCTGGGGTAGCTGCAGACTTCAGGGCCAGGTAACTTCTCAGCCAATCTAAACATGCCTATACAGAGGATTTTTGAAGAAGGCTCCAAGGACTTAGGCTGGACTTTGTTAATCCAGCTCTCAGTGTTACTGTTCAGCCTCAACACCAAAAAGCTGGAGACATTTTCTCTGGCTGCAGGGCCACTTTTAAGTACCAAAATTTCAAGAACATGGTACCTGGATAAGACTGACAAAGCAAGGGGAACATCCAGCAACTGCCCTGACAGAAACCACTCCTCAGGATCAAATGCTAAACAGAAAGGACTTAGGATTTCATCCCCCTAAAGTTTCAGTAGAAAAAGGGGAAAATCCATCACACCTGGCTTCCTCCTGGATCCCCAGAACTTCACCTTGCCTCACCTGCTCTCTCATATCCAAAAGCTCTATATTCTAATTGATGGGACAAAGTCATTGACTGTTCCACCCCTGAATGACTGCACAGATGGCAACTTCAGGAAAAGGGACTCTTACTCATGTCTTTTTTGTAATCCAATTGTAAACACAATCTTTCCAATGAACCAAGAATGTGTAGAAATTTGGCATCTCTTACATCTCTACACCTCTTATGTAATTTGGCTTAAGTGAACATGACAGTTACTGGGGAACAGAGGAAAACTTTACAGCATACTCACGTAAGTTTTATTTACTTAACAAACCTGTTTAGTTCTGTTACATCTGACTTGGAATGTAATTTAGTAGCCTTAGGAACCATACAACCTGTTCTAAAGCCAGTTAAAACCAGACTGAAGCTTTGTTTTGCTGGGTTGTTTTTTTTTTAAGCTGGAAAAAGTACATTTCTACATATCACAAGCATGACCTTCCAGGCCTCAGGAGTTGTTTGACAGTGACTCAGTCATAAAACATTCTCCAGAAGAGCCTCAGTATCATTACATTCCTATCTCTGTGTACCAGTTTCTGTCAAGACAAGCTAGGCCATCTTTTCCTATCCAACATACAAGTGGCACTAGACTTCCCCTGAGGAGCTCTGCTGTCAGGCAGGCAGGTGTGTGCTCTCAGCTGAAGTCCGTGGAGAATCTCCTGGAACAAAACCTCATCACTTAGTTTGTTACTTTTTCCACAGCCATTTCTCAGCAGTGTTTGAATCCTAACAACGTTCCTGGGGAGTTTACGGTCCCTTTGGTAACAGGTCCACCAACGTCAAAAAAGAGACTCTAATGGCCTACAACTTCTTGCTTCCAAGAGTTACCAAACAAATTTAAAAAAAGCAAACCATAGACTGTAGCTCAGTGCAAGTCCGTACGTTAAATCATACCAAAAAGCTGACGCTAAATGACTGTTTATAAGTAAGTGCAAGAAAAACAATTTCCAAGCCAACAGGCGTCGGCCTAGGCCGCAGGCTCGGGGGGCCGAGCTCCCGCGAACCCCGCCGTGCACCGCACCGACCGCGGCCGGAGCCTGCGGCGAGCCCGAGGCGCGGCCGGGCCAAACAGGGCGAGAGCCCGGTATCCGGGCCCGGCACTCCCGCCCCAGGGGGCGGCCCCAGGCCGGCGCGGGGGGCACCGAGCCCCGATCAGTTCCGGTGGGGCCAGGGGCGGGTCCCGGGGAGGATCCCGGGGCGGTCCCACCGCTTCCCGGCCGCGCTTCCGTGCGCCGCGCCCCGTCATGCACGGCGGGCGGATGCGCCGCCATTTTTGCGCTCCCTCTGCCGTGCAGTGACAATAACAACCCGGCCGGGCCGTCCCCCCTCAGGGAGCGCGGGCGCAAGCGGAGAGGGGGGAGCGGGGCCCGAGCGGAGCGGCCGCGGGGCAGAGCGGGAGGCGTGTGGGGCGAGGGGCTGGAGCCGAGGCGACAGAGAGCCGCGCTCAGCCCTCCCCGCTGCTGCTCGGCGGAGACGAGGCGGCCGGAGCAGGAGGGGAGCGCAAGGAGAAGCCGGGGGAGCGGGCAGCCGTGGGGAATTCTGCTGCTGGAGAGGAGGATTGAAAGGAACTGGTGGGCGGCGAGAGGCAGGAACGGAAACGCTTCACTGGGAAAAGAGTAAAAGCAGAAAGACAGAGACAAACTACGAGGAGAACCAAAGTAATAAAGAAAAGGGCAAGAGGAGATACGTGATTCCTCCGATAAAGAAGAACGCGAAGGAGAAGGAGTACCGAAGGACTCCACTGATGAGAAGGAGGAGTTGAAAGACCATCCCCCCCGAGAGAGAGCAAACAGAGACTGACTCTACAACTCTCCCCCTCTCTTTGTCACACCACAAGGATTTGATGCCCCTCAGCCTGTTCACTTCTGTGTGTTCATGTTTCCCACAGGTTTCTCTTCCCCCAACCCCCCAGCTGCAGCCCAGGAGGTCAGACCTGCCACTGATGGTAACACTAGCAGCAGCTCCTCCTGCAAGAAGAGAAAGTTAAATAATAGCAGCAATAGTAATTCCGAAAAAGAAGAATTTGATTCCATTTCCTCCTGCACCTCTTCTCCTTCCAAAAACACCTCCTCATCATCTTCCTCTGTCATCACCACTTCCTCGTGCTCCTCCTCAGGGGTTGCTTCCTCCAACCATCACCTCCAGAAGAAGCTGCGCTTTGAGGACTCCGTGGATTTTATTGGACTCGATGTGAAGATGGCTGAAGAGTCTTCTTCCTCCTCCTCTCCTGCTGCCTCTTCTCAGCAGCAGCACCAGCAACAGCTTAAAAATAAAAGCCTTTTAATTTCGTCAGTGGCTGTGGGGCACCATGCAAATGGCCTGACCAAAGCTGCCTCCTCTACTGTTTCCAGTTTCGCCAACAGTAAACCTGGCTCTGCTAAGAAATTAGTGATCAAGAACTTTAAAGGTAACAGGCCATAATTTGTCACAACCTATGGGGAGCTGATATTCAAGTTTGTGTTTTGTTTTCAGCCTGAAAACCGGTTCCTTTCAAATAGCTCCAGGTTTTGCAGGAATTGCTTTTCTGTGGTGAACATTTCTATACTTATGTAAAGGGGAATAATGATTTCTGATGTGTGCTTGCCTGGTCATGTACACATCCTGAGCTACACTTTGCTGCTTGGAATTACTTTTCAGACTCCCTTTGCTCTGTCTCTTGACAAGGCCTTAATTTGTATGTTAGGTGTAAGTTCTTACTACCTAAGTGTGTAAATCACCTTTGTTTAAACTTCTAACATTTGATACCTCTTTTCTAGTAATTCTGATTCAGGGCTTAGTCTATATTTTAGCCTGGTTTTGGATAAGTCTTTGCATAGAATGTGTTTTTTTTTAAATTGGCCTTGAATCTGCATGTCTTGCCTCTGTCTGTGTTTTCTGTTTATAGGATAATCTGCCTGTGCTTAGTTTTAAGTGTTGAAACTAAGGTGATTATCGGGCTATTATGGTGGATTTCCTTTCTGGTTTCCCCACTTGCCTTTGAAGTAGGTAGTTCAGATTTTTGCAGAGTTTTTTCCTTGTCATGTCTTCACTGTAATTTTTAATTGTAGTATCTTTTCTCTGTCTTAGCTTACTCTTACTTTACAAGTT